TTGCCTAGGGAGGTTGTGGAATCTCCATCTCTGGAGATATTTAAGAGTAGGTTAGATAAATGTCTATCAGGGATGGTCTAGACAGTATTTGCTCCTGCCATGCGGGCAGGGGACTGGACTCGATGACCTCTCGAGGTTCCTTCCAGTCCTAGAATCTATGAATCTATAAGGGGCCCCATCCTGTCAGAATTCAAACTACCTTTTTGCGGGAGAAGGGTGGTCTCGTTATGGGGGCCTGGTGAAAAGCACATGTTGACAACAGAGCCCTCCAAAACTTAGTGCTAAGCTAGAACTCGTCTCCACTTTGTATCAGCAGGAAGGAGTCGGCATTTCGCTTTCCAGGTTTGTAGCGTCTGTGTGGGTCTGTCTACACAGCTATTAAACAGCTACAGCTGGCCCAGGTCAACTGACAGGCTGTGGAGCTGTAAAATTGCTGTGTAGACCTTCGGGTTCAGGCAACGGGGGAGGGTCCCAGAGCCTGGGCTCCAGCCCAAGCCCAGCTATCCACACAACAGTTTTACAGCCCGACAGCCCAAGCCAGCTGACCCTGACCAGCTGTGGGTGTTTAACTGCTGTGTAGACATACCCTCTGTGGCCATGGGTGGGCCATGCTCAGTCTCTACAAGCGACTGCATAGCACTTTGGTTACTACTCTTGTCTATGACACGTACATAATGATCTTTTCTTTTTCTCCGATGTTGAGAGACAATAATATAACATTTGAAATTATATTAGTCAAAAATATCACCTTTTAATCACCATCATAATGCAAATTTAGCCCCTGTAATTGCACTGCCAAGACTTAGTATACTATTAACAGGGTGGTTATAGTATAGCTAACTTCTCAGGGTATCAATACCATGTAATTTAATGCCACAATATACAGCAATCTCCCTGCCAGAGTTATTCTCCCAACCCATAGATCATTTTGTAAGCACAACTGCCAAAAGAACAGGCGTTGAAAGGGATTAAAACTCTGATCTTTGTTAAAGGTGAAGATTGGCTGTCTGAGCAAAGCAGAACTAGTATTAGATGTTTGGATTGACTGTATTATAGGGAATGATGGATTACCGCATGGGTCCACCTGCCCATGCCCAGGGCCAATTTGGGGGCCCCCGCAGGATCGCCGGAACTCTGGTCCTGCCTCCTGCTCCTCCTCTTCCTCCTGAGGCCCCACCCCCTGGCTAGGCTGGAAGCTGGACCCTGGCTGTGGTGGTGACCATAGTCTTCCCACCCCTCTGCACAGAACTGGCTGAGCCACTCTCCACCCCGCTCTGCACGGAGCCGCTCACCCGAGCCCTGCTCTCCGCCCTCCTCCCCCCTGCACAAAGCCCCTCTCTCCCCTCTTCCCCCGCCCAGAGCCGGCCTGAGCCATTTGCCCAAATCCCCCTCCTCCGCCGCACGGGGCTGGCCTGAGCACTGTTGCTCGCCTCCCCCCCGCTCCCTAACCCATCCCCCGAGCCCCTTTTTGGTAAAACTGATAATCACTTGGCAAGAGTAAATGGGACAAATGCCCAGTTTTGCCAAAAAAAAAAAAAGTCAGGATGTCCAGGGAAGGGCTTAAAAAGGGGACTTTCCCAGCCAAAATGGGACATATGGTCACCTTAGTCTGTAGTAAGAGCTGCCCAAGAAGCCCTGAACCCTTGGGTGGGGGGGGGGGCGAAGGGGCCTGAGAGCAGCCCCCGGCCCATGTCTCTGCCACCTAGGGAGTGCTGTCCAGGCAGGTGGAGGGTCCAGGGCTCCCCACAGCAGCCTGGGCTCCCTGCACAGCTCTTACCATCACCTGGCTTCCAGCCAGACCAGAGGGCAGGACCTGGGGGAAGGGGAGGAGCAGGGGGCAAGGCCCTGTGGCGGGGAGTGGGGTAGGGGGTCCCAACTGTTCTTTGTGCTCAGGGCTCCAATAAATCTTAATCTGCCTCTGAGTATAGATTTCAGTTTCCTGTTGCTGGAAGTGGCCAGTCTGATGACTAATGGTCCCATGATCATTATGATCATAAGCCCTTATGAGCCATATATTTCTGATTTTAATATAATTTGAATGACCCACATTACAGGCCCCTCGCTGTCTATTTTAGGGGTTTCTATATCTCTCATCACTGTAATATCTCATGCAGATTTCTCAGCTCTCATAGTCTCTCTCAGAATTTTAGCTAGGTTTTTATACCGCACTCATCACCATGGTATTTAAGCGCCTTAAGATACGGGGTTACATTGTGGCATTTAGCCACAGCCTGCCACAAGGGACAATATGGGACTGCCCCACCCCAGAGGGCGCAACAGGAGATATTCTGCTTCTGGGAGAATACTTCCCAAAGCTCCCCAGTTGCACTGGAGAGACAGCACTTCCAACCCCCCACTCCTTTAAAAGAATACAACATACTATCTCATGCACACAGAGGCTCTGTCTACTCCACACCCCTTTCAGGGCTGTTGATAGCCTCTGTACTTCCCAAATGCAGGGCTGACAATTCTTGTTGCCCTTCATACAGGCTATGCAAGAGTTCCAGACATTCGTGCAGCATCCACGTTTTTGGATGGTGAGATGGAAAAATGATGCTAAAGAGTAGATTTTGTGATGGATCAGAAGGATTTGTGGGAATTTGATCCTAAACTCCCACAAGTCACCAAGAGGAGTGATGGCATCCCGCAATACATAGCAGCAGTCCCACAATACACTGCAAAAATTTCCCACAAGGCAATGCTCCAGATGGTAGTGCAGAGGACACAGGGATGCCTACCTACAGCGCCATTTGTCTTCTGTCGATGCAACCTGATGCTGTGAGGACACTCTGCAACAGCAAAGACAGCCGTATGTGAACGCAGTGTGTCAAAGAAGCTATGTCATTCGCTGTATGCCAGCAAAACTTTTGCCAGTAAAAATTTCTAATTACTTTCTAGTTTCTAGGCCTTAGTTTACTTGTAGCTACTATTACATGATGTAGCTACAAACTCTCAGCCCAAATATCTCGCACTGGCACACATGTATACAACTACTGTATTTTAGTCATGACTGTATATTACTATCCCATAATGGGAAAATATCTGGACACGTGGAAGCATTGTATGTCAGGGACAGAACCAGATGCTTCAGACACATTGCAAGAAAAATGAAGTTAGTTTCAATAACCTTAATGTTATGAATATAAAGAATAATCCTCTGTCCATTAAAATATACACACTTCATAAAATACTATTGGAAGCAAGGACAATTTCAATAAAGCACAGAAATACAGTACCGTGATATTAGGTATTGAGCTGAAAATCTGTGTAGAAACGTAAAGTTGCAGAAACCTTGCTGGAAACACGTTAATTGAAAATCATAAATAACTTCAAATAAAACAGTCATTAGGCACATCAAAAGACTAGAATGGGCAAAGTAATTGGAATTTATAAACTTACATAATTAATTTTTCTTTGTAGGGAGAACAAACATTCCAATGTCCCAGCTCTGTCAGGGCCTTTGACAATTAGACTCCTTTTTATAAATATATTATGTAAGTTTATAAATTTCAATTAGAGCTTGTCCTAGTCTCTTGCAGTCTAAGGATGTTTTCATTTTGGGTTATTCAGGCAGTGGATGGAACCATTTTCCTTGGTGCATCTATAAGGTGATTTCAATGAAAATTCTTTTAACAAAATAAAAAAAAAATTGGATTATAGTTTGACTACTAAGATTCAGGAAAAGAAACATGAATTTGCTTTTACATTGCAGAGTTCAATAGAATATGCCTATACGATAGATTCTATATGTAACAGAGTTACCCTATCCAAGGGGGGCCTTCGGAATATATGAATAACTGTACTACTATGAGTTCAAGGTTATGCTGTATATCATTTATATTAATTTTTCCCTACTTTTGCAGTAAGGTCTCAGATTTGACCTACAGCCTCGGTATTACCAAGTATTTGAACCTGAATCTGCAAAATGTAAGCATGTACTTAATGAGCTGGCTCATATCCTTAGCTGGTGTCAATTAGCATAGCTCCATTAACTTAAGTAGACCACTCGGATGCATAGGGTTAAGCATATGCAGGATCAGACAACAAACATGCAAATATGCAGTGATTTGGTAGATTTACCAGCATTTTATTAATTCATGAGGCTAAATCTCATTGGCAGAATTTGTCAGTTTCTAAAGTTTGATTTATTTATTTACCATGAGCATATCCATTCCTTAGAGGTGTTGTTCCAATTAAGTACACTGAAGACGACCTATGATTTACTTATTCTGATTATGCCAGAGTTCTTAAATTAAGCTCAAAGCACATAGTATCAGTCAAATTCATTATTCAGTCACCCATGATCTAATGTTAATACGAAAACATGGTGTTCAGTATATTATTTTATTTGCCTATGCCCTGGTTTTTTTTCGGTGAAAGTTTACTTAATGATTCTTTCATAAAGAAATTAGATTTTTCTGATATTCTTTGATTTATATTACTTATGGTAAAAACAAAAGTCTAATTTTTGACAAGTTGGGTAATAGCATGATAGTTGAATGTCCAACACTGGTAGGGTTAACAGGCAGAAGCACAAACGTCAGGGAGAGGTTTGAACCCTGGTACAATGGGGCTACATTCTTCCTGCTTTAACTGAAAGGCAAATTTACAATCGTCTACCTCAACTGTAAAATTTCAGGCTGTAAACCATACTCCAAGGTACTGATCTTGCACCAAATCAAAGGGACTTTTGGCTTTGATTCCAATGGTAGCAGGAGGGGGGCCCAGGAGGGACTAAAGTGTGGTTTCCATCCCAAGCTGTCTGCAGCTTTCCATACCTGTTAATACCCCTTTGACTCAATATTCAATACTGCAGCAGGAGAAATGTTCTGCCACTGGTTCTCAGGACCCATGAGTGAGAGGAGGCGATAAGGAATAAGGGGTACAGAATGAACAACGAGAAAGAGTGAGACAGTGGAGAGGGAAGATGGAAAAGAAATAAGTAAATGAAGGGATGGGACAAAATCAAAGGGGAAGGGAATGAGAGTGAGGGTCACTATGCGTGTAGGTTTTTAATGTGTGTTTGGTCAGCTATTCGTTTCATACAAAGGACAAAATTAGAGAGATAATGCGGGACCTCTGTATGCATGTGTTTCATTTGTGTATGTGCCTGGATATACACAGGCACACTTACTAATCTCCCTGTGGAATTCAAACAACAGGAAATTATCAAGGCAAATAGTTAGACAGAATTCAAAGCAGTTTCATGAACATGAATACATTTGCACCTGCACCTGCTACAATAGAGCAAAAAGATCTAAGGGAAGTCAATTAAGCTTTATGCTTCAGAGTGTAGGCTGATTGTCTGCAAGGGTTGAGAAGGAATTTTCCAACCCTTTGTTATAACACTGCAGAAATCAGTCAGGTGCTCTATCCGCTGCCTTCCTTTGCAGCATCAGGTATTGGCCACAGCGGGAGGCAGGACCCTGAACTTGGACCAATCGTCTGTTCTGGTATCGCAACTCCTACAGCATGTTCCTAAGCAAAGAAAGAGTCAGCCCCCCGGGGCAGTGCAATATGTCAGCGAGACAGAGAGAGGCAGCCTGGGACAGCTGCAGCTCAGAACTTCAATTTGTAATGACTGTCTGACCCACAAGCCAAATGGTGGTGGTGTTTTGCTTTACTGAAGCCACACAGGGATCTCAAAGGCTTAGTAAGGTATCCCTTTCTCCAGTGAGAAGGCTGCACTCTTGAGCACTTGCCAGGCCTTTTGGAAGCTTCTAAACATAACTACAAGCTTATGCGGCAAATTTCAATTGCTCATTTTTGTTGTTTACAGAAATGTCTATTCTCAGTCCAAGAATCTCCAGAGTGCTGCCATTTTGAATCTCTGTATAATTCTGCACAAATGACTAAATTTCCTTGGAGTCCCATAATAATAATAATAAAAAAGCATTTTGAGAATCTTAGGGCAATGGTCGCAGCTAACAGATTCCTGACATTGGACATTTGAAAAATCTAAGTTATTTTTGAGAGTTGGAGGCTTTTGCTGGTGCTCCAACAAACCTGAATTTGATCCAGTACTTTCCCCCCCACCCCCCAAAAAAGTGAACTATTGTCCCCCCCCCTTCTAAGATAGCCAGCATCAGATTCTATTGCCTAACATTTTCCTACGATGTAGCTTTTAGCCAGTGCCAGGTTTACAATGGCGCCAGTGGCTCCATGGAGCCGGGCCCATGCTCAGAAGGTGCCCTGGCCTGCTCCACTTGCACTGCACCCCAAGACCCAGCTCCTCCCCCCGCCCACCACTTGCTCCTGCCGGCTGGCCGAGAGTTCCTCTACACCCCATGGCCCCAGCCCCTGCTTCTCTCAGCCCCCTGGCAGGACCCCAGTGCACCTCTGGCTCCAGGCCTGTGGGGCCCCGCCTGTCTCCCCAGAGCTGAGCCATCTGGGACTGGTGCAGGAGCCTGGCCAGTCTCAACCTGGGGGAGCGGACGGTGTGGGGGGCTTGGCTGGGCCCCTCCAGGCAAGTGTGTCTTGAGGGAGCTCGGCCGGGACAGGCCTGGGCCTGGCTGATCGCACCACTCCTGAACGGACAGAACAATTCCTGGCCCTGGGGCCAGCCCTGGCTGCGCTGCCGGCTCAGCCCGGCACACACAGTTGTCTCCCAGCAGGGCCGGTGAGTGCAGCCAGGAGGCAGGGCATGGGGGAGTAGGTCTCTGGAGAGCCTGAGGGGGGTGCTGGGCTGTGAGGGGGCGGGGAAGATGTGAGTGTTGGGGCAATAGGGAGTGGGGGTTCTGTGGGTGGGGGGCTGGGCAGTTGTGGTGGGGCAGTGGGCAGAGGAGTGCTGGATGGGGTAATGTTGTGGCCCCCCTCAAGGGTTGAACTCACAACCCTGGGTTTAGCAGGCCAATGCTCAAACCACTGAGTTATCCCTCTCAAATAGTTAAACCCCTCCCCCCGCAGCACACCTTCGATTTCCTGCCCAGAATCTTGTTTTATGTTTGTTTATCTTGTCTCAGATTATAAACTCTTCCGGATGGAGGACATATCTAAATCTGTGTTTGTACAGCCTACTGTACATTTCTGGCACAATATCAGTTATTAATTATAAATAACTAGAGATAAGCCTATGGTACACAGTTCAGATTCAGCAATGAACTTCCCCAAAAGTTATTTTGAGTTGAGTTTTTGGTTCAGCTCTATCCTTAATAAAGACCAAGAAATACTCTAGTAATGAAACTAGCTCACCTGTTAAAAAACCTAACTAGGTGTATTCAAGAAGACATGAAGTTATTATTAATTGTCACTCTTGTAACTTGAAATAATGAGACACAGGGCTAAATTCTTCAGTCCACTGACCACAATGGACTGGTGCCAGGGTGGAGTTTGAACTTGATGTGAAGCTGTTTTCCTATAGTAGTATATCTATTCAAATTCAATATTGGAATTACAGGTTCTCGATGATGTAAACTGCAGTTTTGCTTTTGTTCCTGAACAGGTGACATGCAAAGCAGATTGGTTGCCAGGAAACATGGATTTATTCCATATCTCACCTCTTCCCTTTTTCCGGAGCATGAGGCTTTCTCAACATCTGTCCCTCCTTCGTGTTTTTCATGGTGCAGTAGGTAACTTAAGATCTGATGCTACAGAATGTTGAGTACTCACAACTTCCATGGAAGTCAATAGGATGCCTGGGCGGCGTGTGAACCGCCCATTCAGAGAGCTAGCCCCTGGCCCCATCCCTTCTGCCTGAGGCCAGGCCCCTCCTCCGCTGGAGCCCAGAGCTTGCCCACTGTGGCCGCAGCCCACCCCCCGGACCTCCCAAGTGCCCACAGGCCCAGAGTGCTGCAGTCCCAGCGCCAGGTGGCATGGTCCCCCAATGCCCCCAGCCCCGGGCGGCGCAATCACCAGCCCCAGCTGCCCCGAGTCCCGGCAGCAGGCTGGCCCACCCTAGCCCCAGCCCGTGCCACGGGAAGAGTGGAAACTGGAAGCAGTCAGTAGGGGACCTGGGGGCGGAGCATGAGCAAGGCTATGCCTGGCTATTTGGGGAGGCTCAGCGTCCCCTGGCCTGTGATACCCACCGCCCATGTAGGATGCGCTCACTCACCACATTACCCTTTTAACCTCCCTAGTCCTTGATTCAAATTGTGTCTTAGGTCACAATCAAAATGAGTCTGGTGGTCTCTTTCAAACTGCTTGTCAAGATATGTCCCCACTGCGAAGAGACTGACTGGCAGGGGGCAAAAAAGAGGTCTAGAATGGAGAGGTGTGGCCTGGCAGGACAGAGACACGTTGGCAGAGCTGTGTGTGGAAGATTTAGCACACCTACCCAGACTCCAGTCCCACGCTCTCCCTCTGAAGAGATGAGGTGAGTGGGTGGCATAAAGGCAGCTTTCAGTATCCTTCCCATCCCCGGAAGCAGAGCCAAGAAACTGGCCATATGTGTCAGGATTGGATGAGCTGAATCTTTGGGAGACAAATGAATCTTCATCACTCCTGTAGTAAATGAAGAAAAAAAAATCTGGAGCGATTCTAAGGGCAGGTTTACACTTAAAAAGCTGCAACTGCACCACTGTAGAGCTTTAGTGAAGACACTACTACGCCAGCGAAAGAGTTTCTCCTATCCAGGACCGGTGCAACCGCTAGGCGAACTAGGCGGTCGCCTAGGGCGCCCAGTGGTTGGGGGCGCCAAAAAGCGGTGCCCTGGCTCGGCAGGGAGGAGCCGCCTTCCGGAGGCACCGGAGAGCCAGAGCATCGGCTTGCGGGGGCAGCAAGCCCCAGCCATGGGGAAGCCGGCGCGGCGCAGGGAGGGCTGCAGCAGATGCATGTGGGCGGCAGCCCCCGTGTGCCCCCCAGCTACCCCCTCGCCATGCTCAGGCTCTGCGGCTCCCAGGCATGTGAGCCGCCGCCGCCCGGGCGCGGGGCCCTGACGGCGGCTCATATGCCCGGGAGCCACAGAGCCCGAGCGTGGTGAGGGGGGAGCGCAGGAGGGGCGGGGGGGGGGTTCTGCCCCCCTGTGCCGCGCCAGCTCCTCCAAGGCTGGGGCTAGCCGCCGCTGCAAGTGGGACGCTCTGGCTCTCCGGTGCCTCCGGAAGGCGGCTTCTCCCTGCCGAGCTGCTGCAGCGGCCCAAGCCTGGCAAAGCCAGTGAGTGGACTTGGGGCGGGAGCCGCCAGGGTGGGGTGGGGTGGGCTCGTGCGGGGGGCTGTGCACTCTGCAGGGGAGTTCAGGGGGCGGGAACCTGGTCTGGGGAGACATAATGAGCAGCCCTTCGAGTGCAGGTTGTTCCCTGTCTGAGAATGGGGCATCAGTCAACCGGAGATGTAACAGATTGGTTTCATCTGTCGCGGCTCTCCAAGGAGACTGAACAGTAATAGCATCAGTCCTTTAGTCATTCATACATCTGTATTGGCACAGGTGTGCCCCAGCTGAATACTGCTCTGCAGTCTGAGGGCGCAGCCGCTGCATTCAGCGTATCAACATGGCGCTGAATTTGGCCCCTCGTATTATTAGTGGCTGTTTGAACCTCCCATCGTTAAGCACTAGGGTGCATAGCTCCACCAGACCTTGGACGAGATGCCGTTACTGTTAAATCTGCTTGGAGAGCTTCAGCAGAAAAAACTAGCCATACTGCCTCCGTGTCTGGCTGGTGGTGATGTGTAAAGTGGATGTGGTGTGTAGGAGTGGAGCAATGGGGATTCAGTCATTGTTAGCCAAGTGGCTCCCCACCTAAGTAGTTCTCACATTTCTTCAGAAAATTGGCAGAAGTATCTCTGCCCCAAGGTAATCTCAACCCAGTTGAATGCAGTTCTGCTTCATTGTTCGAACACCTGCGTTAAAGATCACCAGCAAAGGGAAAACAGAGGGGTTGTGCTCTTTTTTTGTAATTTATGATGTAAATAGAAAAAACCTGAAAGAAGTTTTGTTGGTTTAGCAGATTTTTTACACTTAGCAATCTGAGGCATCGCAAGTCTTGTATTCCGTTCTCTCAACTGCTTGTCAGGAGCTTGAGTTACATCAGTGCTAATGAAAACAAGCAAAAAAAACCCAGTTGTAAATACTCCACCAGTCCTTTCCACTCTCAGGGCTTTGTCTATACTACCACTTAAGTCGATGTAACTTACTTCACTCAGGGGTGTGAAAAAAACCACCCCACTGAGCAACGTAAGTTACATCGACTTAAATTAGTGTCTACACCATGCTGTCCGCAGGAGACTCTCTCCCACCAACATAGCTTCCGCCTCTTGTTGAAATGGAGTGATTACGTCGACAGGAGAGCACTCTCCCACTCTCGCGGGACAAGCTGCAGAGGCGCCGATGTAGCGCGGTAGTGAAGATAAGCCCTCAGTTGCTCAGGTTTCATTCCATTGTTGCTTCTGATGTCATTAGCCCACTAATTCTGCAGTTGCCCATAGTGTCTAACCTGTTGTCCCTGGAACACAAGACCTGAATTTCTAATATAAAAAGCAAGCAGAACAGTCAAAAGCGTTTTTGTTTTGTTGAGGGGGGGAAACACCCTCTTTGGTCTGTATATATCAAAAAGAAGAAGGAAAGGAGAAAAGAGAAGTACAAATACAGTTTTCTATCCACTCGCAGTTCATCTTTAAAACAACCAGGTTTTGCAGGTGCCTTGGGTTTTCTTAAAATAGCTTTCACTGTGATTGGTCTCTCTTGAAATTCCTTTGGGAGTTCTCTTCATTTTTAATGGATTTCATTCCTATAGGCTACCTATCAAATTAAGAAACTATGCCAAATGTCAGATTCAAAGGAACTCGCACACACTGCTTTAGATAATCCAATTAATTCTGAAGAGGAAACCATTGCTTCTTAGGCCAGATCTACACACAGATTTCTTATTGGTACAACTATTTTGATTAGGGGGGGTGATTTTTTTTTTAAACCAAAATAGTTATACCAGAATGACTCCTGATGTGGATGCAATTATACACTGTAAAGGTACCTTACACTAAAGGTTCCCTTCTCAGAGGGGAAATAAGCACCTTTTTTACCAATATAACTGCATGCACATTTTGAGGGGGAGGTTGCATGGCTTACGAGCCGTTTCCGTATCTGAAAGGGAGAACGTGTATAGTGCAGGCAGTATTAAAGCTTTACCAGTGTGACTCATGGGAGGCCTGAATAGGAAATATTGACTGTGCTGCACTGTGTCAACATTTCCATGGGCTCGGATGTAGAAAAAATGTGACCAAAAAGGATTCCTGGTCTGCAGGGGTAAAGGTAGCTGCCTTCATCAATCCACTGAAATTCCTAGCCCCTTAAGGATGGGTGATAACCAGGGCCGGCTTTAGGAAGTGTGGGGCCCAATTAGAACATTTTCGGTGGGGCCCCAGCAGGAATGACTGAAAAAAAAAACACATAAAAAAACCCCTTTCATTTCTTCCATGTATTATTTACTTTCCATAACTATATAAATAATAACAAAAGTATATATTACGTACATTGCTGGCTGGAGGCAGGGCAAGGGTAGGGCAGAGGCTGACTGGAGGTAGGGTCTGGCTGCAGGCAGGGCAAGGGGTGCGGGGCTGGCTACAGACGGGCTGGCTGCAGGCAGGGCAAGGGGTGCG